ATCACTGCCTAAATGATCTTAGAAAAGACATATAATGTTTGTGACCTCACCATGAGTCCCCAATATAGGGATGTTATAATTTATAGGGTTATTCTGAGAGGTAAATTAGATACTTTATTTTGCAAAACAATTACATAAGAGTCAGGCACCTAGTACAGATCTTCTTCAGTTAATGAAGGGATTATATCTCAAAAACCCATCATAAATTGAAAACATCTTAGGTCAAAAATCCACTTTATACACCTAATGTATGAAGCGTCACAGCTTAGCCTAGCCTACCTTAAATGTGTTTACAACACACAGACAATTTAGTACACTTCATGGTATAAGTTGTTTCCCCTCATGATTGCACAGCTGACTGGGAGTTCTGCTAGCTGCCACAGCCCAGCATCACAAAATAGGATCATGCCACACATTGCTAGCCTAGGAAAAGGTCAAATGTCAACATTCAAAGTACAGTTTTTACTAAATGCATAGCATTTTCACACTATCATAAAGTCAAATCATCATTAAGTCTAACCATAGTAAGTTAGGGACCACCTTTGGATTATTGAAAAAAATAAATGGTAACGGTACTTCTGCTGTCTCTACTGAGACGGCACTAAATAAGATAAATAAAATATCTAGAAAACTTCCTAACACAAATAAGGAACAGTAATTACTAATTCCGTTAGAATAAATGATTAGGAATTGATAATCATATTCATCTTCTATTGCTAACCACAGAAAAATAATGAAAAAGAATTAAGACTAACTCCAATGTCTGTTTCCTCCCATTTACCAGGAATCTAGAAAGAAACTGCTAGCAGAAGAAAATAAACAAACCTAAATGGATGATTGAAGATATGAAATGAGTCACATAATTTCTAGCATTTGCCCCTGTGAAACCTCAATATACATGTAAGGATTTCAAGTTCCTTGCAAGGTGGAAGGTGATCACAACCTATTCACATCAACAGATACACTAGCAGAACCATTCCATGACATACAACAGAATCAAAATGATAGACTCACAGTATTTGGAACATATGGTAAGCCATAAAATTTCTCCTGTGTTTCCTTGAGAATGTCTGTGGTTGACCTCCTCAGGGGATGCTTCCCATGGTAGATTTGATCAAGAATGGCATAAAAGACCTAGATGAAAACACATGTTTAGTTTTGGTAGTCCATCTTTATATCTAAGATGTGGTCCACCAAAGATGTTATAGGTACACAAGAATAATAACCATAAGTCTTAGTTGAAAACATTCGCAAATATAAATGTATATACTTGAGATATATTTTGTTACCACATTCAAAAGACCATGTTAATGATGAAAAGGAAAGTTTTCAACATTTTCAAGATTAAGATATAAAGAATATTAAAGAATATTATCTATAAGGAACTCTTTATGTACAATGTAACACTGATTTTATGACTACAAAACAGGAATATATGCATGCATGCAAACACACACACACAACAGTAAGTACTAACAACATTGGTTCTTGATACCTTCCTGGAAACTGAGACTTAACTGAAACAACATATTAACAAACCCAGGGTTAAAAGATATAAACAATGGCAATTTCTGGTCACAAAAGCATCACCAAACTTCTAAATAAAGACCCAAAACATTTGTAAGCAATCATTTGTGTTCATTCATTTTTCAGCTCCCTTATTCCAGTTAAAGTTCACAGGTGGTCAGAACCTACTCCAGGGGTTTAAGGTGGGAACCTGACCCTGGACAAGATGCCCTCCAGCACAGGGCACACTCACAACCACACTCACTGAGACAGACCATCGAGACACGCCAATTAGCCTAATGTACACATCTTCAGGATGTGGAAGGAAACGAGTTCCTGGAGAAAACTCACAGACATGGGAAGAATATACAAACACCACACTAGACTGGCCCCAGACAATAATTTTTTTCCCTCATCAATGAAATAACATTGAACAAACTGATGTTATTTGATTAACTGATGAAAATAGGTATACACACACACACAGTGCTGAAAATATAAAAAAATAAAGTTATAATTTGTAACCTGCCTAAATCTAACATACTCTATTTGGTTTCTTCTGGAATCTTGACACATCCTAAATAAGAGAAATGAAATGGTCTGAATCTTAGTTTTGTGATGAGAGGTGAAATAACATTTAAAAGGTGGAGTGAAGTGGAGAAAGAAATAGCAACTTAGTGCCTTATGTACAGATGTAAAAAGGAATTCTGGTGCAGCTGTTGGAGAGTCCAGAGCTGGGGCCATGTCAGGCCCCACATCTGGTGTCAGGAGGATCAGAGTAGGCAGCTGCTGTGAAGGGGTAATGCTGGCTTTAGGAGGTGACCAAGAGAGAAGAACCACTCACCTCTGAACAGAGGATACAAGCCAATGAAACTTAATACGAGAACAAAGCATTCGGGGGGAAAAAAATTAAACATGAAATCTGCTCTAAAAGCTCTGTAAACTAAACTTCACATAGAAAATTTAAAGGAATGCTTTTCCACTGTCACAACTCACTTGAAAATCAACACTGTTTAAAGTTCACCTGAAGCAAGAACGTAGAAAATGCTTTATTTTACAGAAACTTCTCACATGCAATTGTTTCTGATACATAGAGAATGTGCAGCTGTTGACTTGAAAGAACTGAGGATTATTTTGGATGAAAGAAAAAATTTAAATGACTTTTAGCTTCTGGCTTCATAGGATATAGAATTATGGTTCTAAATTATAAAGTCAAATTTAAACCTTCCCTAGAAAATGCAGCGATTTCCTAAATATAAACTTGCTTAACTCTAACTGGTAATCTAAACATATAGCTAAATATAGTCCTTTCAGTTCTATATTCTGTAATGAATAACAATGCATAAAGATAATCAGAGAAGCCAAAATTACTCATCTGTGTCTTGTCTATTTCTAACAGATAAATTATTATTAAGAATTGAATCTCTTAAAAACTAACCTCAACTAAAAAAAAAAAAAAATCACCTCAACTGAGGTGATTTTTTTGCCCCAATCTATAAACAAATCAGAATTCAAGAGTTTTTATCCCTTCAATTATGTCTTTCATGTGATAACTTTTTAATTTAATCATACAAAGAGAACAAAATTAGTTAAAAGTGCACTTATTTCATCTCATTGATAAAACTGTTGCTCAACCAAACAATTCTAAAGATATGTGCCTATTTGCCCACCTAGGGAATCATGTATGACAGAGACCAAGAGCTTTAAAGCCACAGAAATATAGCAGCCTATTTTTAACATGATGCATTACAAAAAAAAAAATTTTAAATTAAAAAAGTTTATAGCTCCTTAGAAATATAAAATAATTTCCTTTCCACTCATTTGTCTCCATTGTGCAAGGGGACTAACATATAACATGAAAGCTGGCACAAGCAACTTTTTTGGCAGGAATTTCTTTCCCTCTTTCCCTTTCACCCACCTTTCTCTTTAAAACCCTCCATCCTACTCCCATTAGTATGCCCCTTCCCTCATATATTTTCTCTTCCCTCATCCATACTCTCTCTTAGTTATTCTTTTGATGACAGTAGAAAGAAAAAAAAAAGAGCAATGACTGGTTTTCCATTAAAAAAAAATTCATTGGAACAACTGTTCAAAAAGAAAGTTGCAACATAGGCTTTTAAAAGGCAGTGCTTCAAAAATAAACCCACACATATAGAGAAAATTAATTCACAGCAAAAGAGCCAAAAGCGTAGAACAAAAAAGGGAATCTCTTCAACAGTGTTGGGAAAACTGGTCAGTCACTTGCAAAAAAAGAAATTAAACCACTATCTCATGCCATATACAGAAATTAATTCCACATGGATTGAAGACTTGAATATAAGACCTAAAGCCACAGAAACAAACATAGCCAAAACACTCCATGACATAGGGAACTTGACTTCAATGGCAGGCAAACAAAAGCAAAAATAAACAGCTGGAACTCTATCAAAATGAAAGCTTCTGCACATTGAAAGAAACTATTAAAACAAAAAGATATCCTACCAAGTGGGAGAAGTTATTTGCACATCATACATGTGACAAGGGTTAACACCCAAGATAAAGAAAGAATTCATACAACTCAACACCAAAAAACAAACATCCCAATCTAAAAACCAGACAGATCTACATAGACACTTTTCCAAAGAAGACTTACCGATGGCCACAGGCATACAAAAAATGCTTATATGAGGGAAATTTGCAAATCAAAACCACAGTGATAGATCACCTCACACCTGTGAGAATGGCCCATCCAAAAAGACCAGAAACAACCAGTGTGGGGGAGGGTGTGGGTAAAAAAGGAACCCCTTGTACACTGTTGGTGGGAATGTGAATTGATCGAGCTCCTATGGAAAACAGTATAAAGGTTCCTCAAAAAGATAAAAAAAGTAGATCTACCAGTAATTCCGCTCCTAGTATCTATCTGAAGAATATAAAAACTCTAATTCGAAGGGATAGATGAACTCTTCCTGTGCTCATTGCAGCACTATTTAAAAAATGCAAGACATGAAAGCATGACAAGCAAATATCTTCTCCCACTTGGTAGGATATCTTTTTGTTTTAATAGTTTCTTTCAATCTGCAGAAGCTTTCAGTTTGATAGAGTTCCAGTTGTTGATTTTTCCTTTTGTTTGCCTGCCACTGAAGTGAGCCCCTAAAGACACACTTGATGCCAAAGTCCTGAAGTATATACTGCCTGTAAAACCACATTTTTTAAGAGATACAAAATAAATTAAAATATATTAACTTGCTTGATGAAAGGTATGATTTTGAAGAAGTCATGTCACTTTTCTAAATTTTGATTATCCTGATTGAAAATGAAGTTAACAATATTTAGCATCTATTTCATAAGAGCAGTATGAAGAATGAATGAGTCAATTTTGGTCTAGTCCTTTGAACTTGGATGAAAGGTGTTTTAGAAACATAATTATTATAATAAATGTGTAACATTGGCAAGAATTTTCAGTTGGATATTCATTTTGAATGATTACTGGAAAACTTGAGAACAAAGGTACATACCTACCTGAAGTTTCATGTCGGCTGCTGCACAAACCTTTTTAGATTCACAAAGACGAGACACCATATTTTTGGGCAGTGACTTGAAAAACAAAAGAATATATGTGAGTAAACCATTAATAACTCTGCAGTATGTACTTATGAGTCTAGAAGTTAAAAATGACAGCAAATAAAAAATAATAGAATTTCATTATTTTTAAAAAATAACAATATATTAGTTGATGAGAAAATGAAGGGAGAATTAAGAGCCCAGAAATAAATCTATACACATATCAATACATAATTTATGACAAATGAGTCATAACTATACAATGGAGAAAGGAAAATCTCTTCAACAGATAATGTTGGGAAAAGTAGGCAACAACATGCAAAAGAATCAAACTGGATCACTCTCTAACTCCATATACAAAAATAAATTCAAAGTAGATTCAAGAGTTGGATGTAAGACATGAAACCATTAAATATTTAGAAGACTATATAGGTGATACTTTCCATGACATTAATGGCAAAGAAGTCCTTGGGAACTCAACCTTGACAGCAAGGGAAATGAAAGCAAACCTAAATGACTGGAACTACATCAAATTAAAAACTTTCTGCACAGTGAAGGAAAATATTAGCAAAATAAAAATAGCCTACTGAATGGGAGAAGGTATTTGCACATCATGCATCTGACAATGGGTTTTTAACTGATGTACATAGAGAACTTACCCAAATTAATAACAAAAAACAATCCAATTAAAAAGTGGATAGAAGACCTGAAGAGACACTTTTCCAAGGAGACTATACAGATGGCCAGCATACAGATGTAACAATGTTCAACATCACATCTTATTACGGAAATACAAATCAAAACCACAGGAGGTATCATATCATGCCTGTGAGAATGGCTTACATCAAAAAGACTGCTAACAACAAATGTTGATGAGACTATAGAGAAAGAGGAACCCTTACAAACTGTCAGTGAGAATGTATATTTGTACCGTCACTTTGGAAAGCGGTAGAACTACTATGTGATGCAGTAATCCCACTTCTGGGTATCTACCTGAAGAATACGAACTCATAAACTCCAAGAATTTATGTGTCAGAATGTTTATTGTGGCATTATTTACAATAACTAAGCTATGGAAGCAACTGGAGGACTGGATGATTAGGACTGGATGAAGACGTGGTATATATGCACATTGGAAAACAATTTTATTCTGAAAAAAATGATGAAATTTTGCCATTTGTCACAAAATGGAAGGAACTTAAAGGGATTATGTGCAGTGAAAATAATTAGAAAAAGTTTAGTATTGAATAATTTCACCTCTATGTTCAATAAAAGAAAAAAGTAAGCAGATAAATAAACAAAATAAAATAAAATAGTGGCTATAAAAAAATCTGAATGAAGTCACCAAAGATGAAGAGGTTGGAGGGGGGAGTAAGAGTGAAGGGGGTATAAGTGAAGGGAGTAAGAGTGAAGGGGGTGGTGGTGGGTGTTTTGCTTTTTTAAAAAAAATTGAAAAAAATAAAAGGAGACAGACATTCCATTTCATTTCAAAAAGTGGCAAATGTCCAATAGGAGTTTGTAGATGAAAATACAGATTGTGAAGAACAAAGAGATTGGCACTAATCTTTAAAAATCTATTTGAAAGTTAATACTTTTGGGCCTCCCTGGTGGTGCAGCAGGTTGAGCGCAGCACTGTGAAGCTGTCCACAGCAGCCTCCACAGTGCCAGTTCGATTCCCAGCTGGCCAGGGAGAGTCCCACATGGCAAGGCAGACCTCTCCTGCCTTGCCCGCTGCTCCCCTCAGCAGTGCTTTCAGTCCGTCTGCCTGTTCTGCTCCCCATTCTGTCTCTGGTGAGTCCTCTCACCCGCCCGCGCCTCTGGCCTATACCCCAGCTCTTGTATAAATAAAAAAAAAAAATCTTAAAAAAAAAAAAAATTAATACTTTTTCTGTTTCTTTGTTACCAACTAAAGCCTGTTCAAGTACTCTATTGACTTTTAAGTACATATAATAACTGATGACAGGAATAAAAGATTAAAATGTCAAGAAATAAATTATAATTTGTGGTGCCGCCAGTAATAAAGCTGAGTTGATACCCAACAACAACAAAAAACAAATTGCATTTTCTTTCATTTTCCACCCTGTAAGAATTACATAGGTTGGACACTCAGTGTAATATGCCTATATGATTTAAGACCTCCCTCTGAGACTAAATAGGCAAAATCCTATGACATCACATATTCTCCCAGAAATAAACCAATAATGTAGTTGAAGAAGTAATTCACTCAGTTTTATTCTACTTTAAAATCATTAATCTTATGTGTATTGAAAAGCTACCACTTTATACAGCTATAGTTATGACCTAAATTAAAAGTCCCTTTCAAAAGAAACACATATAAGACACCTAAGGCAGGCTACTCAGTACCAGAGTTGTATATATTGTTATTAATCACCAATGAAAAATGTGAGCTCTCTACTGAAAGAAGAATTAAGAACTGATATTAACAAATATATAATAAAATAATATAATATAATATATATGTATATATGTACATCCACTCACATCCCTAGGACTTAGAATAGTGAAAATAAATATCTACATACGAATGAATAAACACAAGAATGACTATTTCCTATGTGAAAGACTACAATGGTATATAATGAAGGCCTACAAAAAATGTTGCCTGCTCTTTTCTCTCTCCCATTGTATATAAAAACAGCAAACCAGGAAGAAAAGTTGACTTTAAAGAACTAACACATGGACTGAAAGAGAGCGTATAGTGTAAATTCTGGTATAGGTGACAGGCCTGGGATTTTCAGACACCAGGGGCACAAATCTTGTATAAAACAAAATGTCCTCAAGCAAGATTTTTTTTAATTACTTTTATATTTAATTTTTCTTAATTATTATTTTTTATTTTTTTACATCATTGTTCATTTTTAAACAATATTTGCTTCCCCCGACCCCCTCAGGTGTAGTCCCCATAGAGTTTCCTTCACCAATGCACCCGTGCACCATCACCTCAGTCCCCTGTGCTCCTCCCTCCCTCCCCTCTGATCCCTCTCCCTCCTCCTCCCCTTCAAGCAAGATTTTTAAAGTGAAGATTTAGTTAAGGCATATATGTCAACAGCCTGCATCAAAATGTTCAAGTTTCTTTATTTTACATCTTTTGTTGATAGGACTCATACTACACTTAGGAGATTTTTCATGTCTCACAAACATTTAATCCAGGCAGACCTTGTGATATTACAGCCTCAATTCCAGATAACTGCAATAAAGGCAGCCCCAGGAAATTTCTGGTTCCCTGGTGCATATAAAATTTATATATTTATATTCTACAGCAGTCTATTAAGAATGTCTAAAAAAATTTAATGTGCATACCTTAATTTAAAAAATACCTTATCACTGAAAAAATGCTAACCATCACCTGCAACTTCAGCAAGTTCATAATCTTTTACCAGTAAAGGATCTTGCACTGATTATTATGGCTGCTGACTAATCAGAATGGTGGTCACTGAAGGTTGGGGTGGCTGTGGCAATTTCTTAAAAGAAGACAGCGATGAAGTTTCAACATCTATTGACTCTTTCTTTTATGAAAGATTCCTTTTTAGCATGTGATGCTGTTTGACAGCATTTTACCCGCAGTAAAACTTTTTTCAAAACTGAAATGACTCCTCTCAAACCCTGCTGCTGCTTTGTCAGCTAAATTTATGTACTAGTCTAGTCTTTGTTATCATCTCAACAATGCTCACAACTTCGTCATCAAGAGTAGATTCCATCTCAAGAAATCACTGTCTTCGCTCATTATACAGAGCAACTGTCCATTAGAGTGCAGCAATTCAGTCACATTTTCAGTGACTAGTTCTCTTACTATTTCTACCACATCTGTGGTTACTTCCTCCACTGCAGTCTTGAATCCCTTGAAGACATCCATGAGGGCTGAAATCAACTCCTTTCAAAATCCTGTTAACGTGGGTATTTTGACCTCCTCAGATGAATCACAAATGTTGTTAGTGGCATCTAGAATGATGAATTCTTTCCAGAAAGTTTTCAATGGACTTACGTCTAATTCATCAGAAGATTCACACTCTCTATGGCAGCTATAGTCTTACAAAAATGATTTCTTAAATAATTAAGACTTGAAAGTCAAAATCACTCCTTGATCAATGGGCTACAAAATGAGTGTTGTGTTCAGAGCCATAAAAATAACATAAATCTCCTTGCACATCTCCATCAGTGCTTTTGGGTGACCAAGTGTATTGTCAACAAGCAGTAATATATTGAAAAGAATCTTTTTTCCTGAGCAGCAGGTATCAAGAGTTGGCTTAAAATACTCAGTAAACCATGCTGTAAACAGATGTGCTGTTATTCAAGCTTTCTACCATTTAAAGAGCACAGACAGAGCAGACATTTAGCATAATTTTTAAGAATGCTAAGATTTTTGGAATGGTAACTGAGTACTGGCTTCAAGCTAGCCACCAGCTTCCTTTGTCCCTAACAGGAGAGTTAGTCTCTCCTTTGAAGCTAGGCTTTAACTTCTCTTTAGCTATAAAGGCTCTGTGTGTGTGTGTGTGTGTGTCTAGATCTGGATAATATGCAGCAGTTCGCTGTTTCACCTTCTACTTTTATGTTCCAGACAGCTTCTTTCCTTAAATCTAAGTCATCCTCTGATAGCTTCAATTTTGTTTTTCTACTACTTCCTCACCTCTCTCAGCCTCCACATTACCGAAGTAAATTAGGGCTTTGGTCGGGATTAGGCTTAAAGGAATGTTGTAGCTGGTTTGATCTATCCAGACCACTAAAACCTTCTCCATATCAGCAATAAGACTATCCCAATGTCTTACTGGGGTAGCATTTTTAATTTCCTTCAAGAACTTTTCCTTTTCATTCACAACTTGACAAATTGCTTGGCACAAGAGGTCTAGTTCTGAGCCCTTGTTAACTTTCAATATGCCTTCCTCACTAAGCTTAGTCATTTTTAGCTTTTGATTTAAAGTGAAAGACATGCAACTCTTCCTTTCATTTGAATACTTGAACCACGATAAGGTTATTAGTTCACTAAATTTCAACATTGTATCTCAGGGAATAGGAGA